ACGCGCGCGCGCGCCACACACACACACACACACACACACACACACACTGTCGATATGAGTACACTAAAAAAAATATATTCATATTAATAAATGTATTATTATTTTTTTACAAAAATATACAATATACAAATATACAAAATTGTTATAACAATAATAGATATCAAAACAGCATTTTATTTCTCTAATATACAAGATAATAATCGTGTTACCTTTAGACAAATAGAATAGATTATACTAATTAAATAATAAAAAAAATTCTATTATTTTTCAATTTATGCAATAATATAAATCCGTGAATGAGCGAGCATTCGTATAAAAAAAGCCCAGTGTTATGCGTGCTCATAATTGCTAAGTACGCGACAATATGTTTGTAAGCACATAACGTGCACATAACGTTATAAACAAATCTGTCATTTGTAAATCACATTCACATGCAACATCTTGTCTAGAATAAACTACTAGGCTATCCTTTCACGTGAATATTCATTTGCGAATCTGTATAAATTAATATCTCTTTAATTATTGCGAAAATCATAAAATGATACAGGATTTTTTCATTTAATATAAACCGCTCTATTTGCTCATGAAATGTTATTATCGAATATTCTGTATATTAGAGATAAAATGATTCGATATTTGATATTCCTGTAACAATTTTGTATAAAAAAGTAATAATATATTTATTAGTATGAATTATTTCTTTTAGTCTCTCTTATACTCATATCGACAATATACATTGTGATAAATTAAGAGAAAGCGATAATAAAATACATGTTCTCTATATACTTAACAACAAAACTATTTATTTTATGCTATTATATATTGCTTTCTTGTATAAGATTATTGCAGAAAGAATGAAAAGGCAAGTACTTTGTTCATTCATTTGGATAAAAAGTTATGAAAATGGAAAAATGTTACGCGCCTAAGCATTCTTAAAATTTTATCCGCTTTAAATAGTGCAATTTAATGTCTCACTTTTGTTGTCTTAAAAATAATGTTGTTTTATCCTACAGAATTTAAGTTATATGTTGCTTACATAATTTAGTGCGTTGTTTTAATAAATGTATCTACATGTACAAGTCTTGCAAGATTATGAAAGACTGACTGCAAAAACACCGCAAGAATCGTCTGTTTGGTCACCCTTGAAAGTGGACTTAAATTCAGCATACTTTTACTGAGTTACTGAGATGTGAGACCTCAAAGTTACACTTATACACTATCCACCTTATGATAAGATAATACATGAATCCATTAATGCCCATGTAAATCCATTAGACCGATCTTTTTCAAACATTGCAAAAGCGGATATGGCATCACAAGATGATAATTCATGTGATAAAAATTATTTCATAATTTGTTTAAATAATTATTGTCATACAGACGGTTACTCTTTAGATGTGTACGTGTAGACATATGCAATACGCGCGCGCGCACACACACACACACACACACACACACACATTTTTTTTACAGAGCGTTCATCTTGAATTGCGAATTGTATTTATTTAATATCTATTCGTTATATGTCTTTATTAAATTTAATGATTCGCGCAACACGTTAACGCTGTACATTCCTACATCTCTGACAAAATTAATGTGGTTTATACGAGAGGTAGATTTACAGACTTTCGTCACAAGAAGGATATATTTCAAATGTGTTCATTAAATTATAATTATAGACGATAATATTGACAACAGACTTTAATGTTCGATGAGAGACTACATTATTACTGAAACTAAAATATTAAATATCAGGGATGAAAGTAATATTTATTTTCAGGATGCGAACTCTTTATTATAGCTGTTCGTAGAAGCATTGCAAATGCAATATTATTATAACAATAGTATCTAGAGGTACAAGATTAAGACTTTAAGATTCTCATTCGATTTAGCTTTCGACACAAAGTAGTTTTAAAGAAGATTTTTAAATGATTTTCTAAAATCCAAGTCCATCAAAATTCGTCACTATTCTTATTCTCCTGTTTATAAAAATGCATTGATGCTTTCATGAGCTATTTATTATCTGCGAAAAGTAAAAAGTAAATGTATTTTTAAAGATCTTGTTGGCTAGAATGCAAACGAATTAACTATCTATTGAACGGATCTTTCTACTTTATCTCTAATAGAGATTTGAAATTTCGTCCTTATAACTTTTCACGAGTTTAAAATTTATCGAACCCTCGACAGTTCGTGCGTTGTTCAAAAAACGATTTGTGAAAAAAGATACTCGAGATGTATTATACGATGATTACGAATATTACATCAGCTGAAGCAACGGAATGATTTTTCATTGTGTTCGTATTATTGCCGAATAAAATTTTGGATTCATTGATTGTATTTCCTGATCTTTTTCTTAATATATTATGAATAATATATTATGAATATATTAGGAAAGATTCTTGTATATCATATAATAAAAAATATTTTATTATATTTATTTATTTTTTTCGTTTATTATATTCCAATATTTTTTTCAAAATGATGTTATTATCTATGTTTCAAATAAAATTCAATTCATATAATATCATGTCGATACTATTACAGTTATTTTTTTCAGAATTGATAATGACGATATATTTTTTTTATTAATAATAGTAATAATATAACACTACGCTTTACATTTTTGGATAATGGTAATATAACCATTACTTTGCATACGTAAAATGATATGTGATCTGAATACAAATAAGTTTTAAGAAAAGATTCTCAAAATTTGATGAGAAAGCAACAGAAATTATAATAATCTATTAACTTTTTCAGTATGATAATAAATTACTTTTTTAATGAGTAATAGAAACGGTAAGGAATTTTTAAAGTAACTTTCTTAATCGTGAATATTACACTACACACACACACACACACACACACACACATACACACACATACACACACTCACTCACTCATTCACTCACATACATAAGAATACATATCGAAATCGTCCAATTCATGCATTTAAAGCTTTTGATTAATCGCTGCGGCCATAATTGTAACGTCATAAACGACAAATAACAGTGAAATTTATTGCATGTTATTTGCAAATAAAAAGATGTTTGACTAAAACAATATTTGAGATGGCTTTAAAACATTTATGAAAATGGATGGTTACTATCCTTTCCCTTCCTAATAGTCAATAAGTAGCAATAGTAAAAGGCATGTGAAATGAAGCTTATTCAGGCAGAAAACACAGTTTGACATCTGTTGAAAGAAATGA